GGAATGGATGTAATGAGGTGAAAGATACTGGATCTAGGTGTCCCACTGCGCATTAGAACAAAGAAGTGGGCCTTGCTGTGCCTCAGTTTCCTTGGGAGTCACATGAAGAAAATGATGTTCATTTTCAAGGGTTCTATGAACAGTGCCTGACCCATCATCATCATCATTATCATCATCATCATTATTATTTTATCATTAGTATTATTATTCACATGAAGTCAAAATCCAGGATTGATAGCACATATGGCAGTTGGTAGGCTAAAAATATCTTCAGATGGTCTCAAACCCCTTTTAAATCAAACATAGCGGAAGTACCACTGAAAAGGTTGGTGGCACAGGTGATCTGGAGATGGCCCTGACCTTGCTCACTGAGGGCTTCTCTCCAACTGGCTGAAGAAAGGGGTGAGAAGGAGCTGCCATGCACCACCAACTTTGAAGATGGAGGACATCTACAGTCACATCAACCTGAGCATACCCAGTTGCTTCCAAAGATAGAAGAGACAGAAGAATAAAGAATGCCAGTGGTCCCCAAGAGCAGTGAGTAGCCAAGAAAATTCAGTAGAAATGACACTGAGTGACATTTGAGCCTCAACCTTAAGACATCCAGAAGCTTCTGCTTCCAGAAAGCCTCTCCCAGTTTATCTGGAAGCTATACAGACCACCCTAGGGAAGCCACCGTGTAGCCTTGCCTGCCTATTCAATCAGGACCTCAGCCTTTGCCCAAATCCCAGGAGTGCCAGGTCAAGTGTCCAAGGACATGTGAAGAATGCTAATCCACAGCCATGCTGGGTTTTTATTGGGGTGGCTTATCACTTGTCAATACTGACACACAAAGTTGAAGTCTTGTGTCAAAGCACATGAAACCCTAGGCAATTCTGACCACAGAATTCTAGATTAACTATAGGAAATCGCCTTGGTGACCTTAAAAGACTTTATTCTTTTTCATTTTTCTAAGAATCCCATTTGCTAAATCTAATTATTTCAGCATTGATTTTAGAAATAATAAGTGGTAATTTTTTCCATCAAATGGTCAAAACCCAATTTCATTTATCACTGGGAGACAAGGAAGAGTCTCTTCTCTCGCCCAACTCTATTTTGCTCATTTTCTGAGGAGTTGAACAGCATTACATGCAAAGTACCTATTGAGAAATAATTCTGTGCATGATGTCAGAGTCTGTTAGACCTCACATGCTCAAACAGGTCACCCAGGTCAATCATTGGTCATTTCTGAGAACTCTCCCCTCATGTGCTGCTGGAAATGCCACCAGAGATTTACTGTTGTCCTATCGAGCCAATAACCTGGGGTGGAGGAGCTCTGTCTTTCAGAAGGGACATTAGAGTCAAGCCATGGGCACTGGGGGAGGGTGATGAACCAGCTCGTGGCGTTTCTGAGTGATCCTAATGTCCTGGATAAATTCCAATCACACTAATGGCCTCGCTCATGCCTTTGTTAGAAGCAATTAAGGAAGCTCCCATTTTCTCCTGTTTCCTTCTCTTCTAGGTAGCCTCCTCAGGGTCTAGGCAGCTGATGTCTGTGTTGTTGCCCAGTAACCGGCAACTGCCTAGAACCCAGGTCTACAAATTGCACTGCACAAAGACACACAACTCTCTGAAGACCAAGAAGAGTGATACTAACATCATCCTAGTGCTTACACAGCTCAAGAAAAATACAATTAGACAATTTTGGTCATGAAATGGAAAACATAGCAACAGCAATGGAGCAAAATGTTGTTGGCCAACAACTAATGAAAATAAATGTAATTCTTTTTTAAAATTTAGTGACTCATTGGTAATTTCATATATGCATGTGATACATTTTGATCACATTCAACCTCATTGTCCTCTCTTATTCAGCTTTTCCTGGCTCTGAAGCCCCTTCTTCGTTCCAACATCGCCCCCCCCCATTCTCCTGTCTTTGCTTGGAACCACCGACTTTAATTCATGTTGCCTGAGCACAGGTGTAGGGTTGTTCACCGGAGCATGAACAGCTTACAAAACACAATTGTTTAAGCAGCACAATCTTCATACCGTTTTTCTTCAAAACTGATGCTTTCCATTGTTGAATCAGTCACCAATGTTCCTCTGCAGAACCATTCTCAGCTTGGAGGCTGTGTCCAGCTGTGTCTAGCTGTGTCTAGCTGTGTTTCTTGAGTTGTAGTATCCCCTGCCTGTAGTGGGCCTCGGCTCTGCCTGTACCCAGGTGAGAAACAGGCTTCCTCTCATGTCTGATTGGATGAAGGAGTCACCAGTATCCCAGCTATGGTGTCCAGTATGATTGGGAGGCAGAGTTGGACCCTGAGGGGAAACACATGCTAATGAGGCCAAGGAATATCTGGAAAGCAAACACAGAGATGGCTTTGGGAGGTGATCAGTATGTGTGTCTGTGGACTGAGGAGGAAGGTCTATCCTTTGTGTGAGGGGGCTCCATCCTAACACCCAACAAGAAGACAGGGAATAGCCCAATTTATTCTCTCTGCTTCTAAACTTAGAACATGCATTAGTCATTTCCCTCATCACTATGACAAGACACAGGACAAAATGTAAAAGGGAGGGGGTGTTTTAGGATTTACTTGGGCTCGCAGTATCAAAATGTTCAGTCTATAGACCTTAGCTCTGCTTATTTGGGGCCCATAGGAAGACAGCATCTCACAGTGACAGGAGCCTGTGGAGGAGGAAGCTAACCTCACAGTAGACAGGAAGGAAAGAGGAAGAAAGCCAGGATCCTAGGACAAGTACAGCCACCAGAGACCTCCTCCTTCCATCCAGCCCTGCTTTCCACGATGTCACCACCTACTTCATAAGCATCTGTTCAGAGTCAGATCCCTCCATGGATTAAATCCCTGATTGGGTCAGAGCCCTGGTGAGCTCATCACCCTGGAAATACTGGCAGGACACACACAGATGTGGGCTTTACTAATCTTGTAGGAGTGCCTCAGTTTAATCAAGGGAGTACAATGGAGAAGAACCTTTACATGTATGTTTCTACCCTTGTTCTTGATCATCAAAAACTCCATGTCTTCTGAGATTTCAACCCCAGGACTGGAACCACCCTCTCTCAACTTGCTCCCTGAGCTCTTAGACTGAAAGGTATGCTGTTGGCTTCCTGCTTCTGAAGTCTTCAACTCCTCTAGGTCTCCAGCTTGTGGATGACCTGTCATAGGCCTCCTCAGCATCCATGTAAATTTCCTGATGACCCACCCTCTATGATCTATTACCTGCCTATCCATTATCCATCCATCTATTCATTCATCCATCTATCCCTCATCTATCAATCTGCCATCTATCTATATAATATTTATCATCTATCTATCAATTGATCTCTCTATTTATCTATCATCCATCTTTCAGTCTATCTGACTAGTCTACCTATCATCCTACATCAATCGTTCTATTGATTGACTTCTCTATTTGTCTTATCTCTCTATCATCCATTTCCACCCTTCTAATATATCTACCTATTTATCATTTATTACCAATTTAACCTACCAATCCATCTATTCCTCTCTATATCTGTCTTGTCTCTCTCTATATATTAGTTACTCTGTTGTGATAACACACCATGACTAAGGCCACCTATAGAAGGAAGGGTTTATATGAGGACACAGTCCAGAGAGATGAATCTATTACCATCACCACAGGAAAGCATGGCGGGAGGCAGGCATGAGGAACAGAGCAGCAAACAGAACTCACATCTTAAGCAGCAAGTGTACAGGGAAACTCAGAATGGCTTTTAAAGTCTCAAAGCCCACCTCAAGTTACATACTTCCTCCAACAAAGCCCCGCCTTCTAACCCTCCTTAAATAGCACTGTTACCTGGGGACCAGCTAAGCAAATGTCAAAGCCTCTAGGGGACATTCTCATTCAAACCACCACCTATCATCCACCCATCTATCCATCTGTCTGTCTGACTATCTATCTATCGATCGATTGATCGATCATCTATATATCACCCGTCTCACTGATTCTGTATTTCCGGAGAACTCTGACAAACATACACCCCTTCCGTATCTGGGTTGTCATGGATGCATGCTGCTTCCTTCCAGTAAGCCTCGTAGGATACAGTGACAGGGAAAGGATGCTGCCTTCCTTCAGGAGTGGGTGGTAACCACACTCTGTCCTGGTGATAAAGCAGCTGACCTCCCATGCAGAGCATGGCCCGGTCGGTGGGGACTGATCCCGGCCTCCTTTGCTTTCAGTATTCACCATCCTCCTTACGATCTCTCTCATTCTTCAGTGGCTCTGCCACGTTCATCCCGAGTCTTGACAATTTGGTCACCTTTTATTGGTTGAGAAGAAAAAGACTTTTAAAAATTAACAGTATGCAAGCAACTTTCAAGTTTTATTTTTCAGGGTTGGACAGATGGCTAAGAGATTAAATGCGCTTGCTGATCTTGCAGAGGACCTCAGTTCCATTCCCAGCACCCACATGAGGGCTCCCAAGCATCTGTAACTGCAGATCCATAGGAGCTGATGCCTCTGACCTCCATGGGCACCAGGCACTCATGCACTGCACATACATACACACATGCAAGTGAACACTCAAGTAATAAAAATAAATACATCTTTGAAAATTATTTGTCGTTAGAATAGATCACCAGAAATTTGTATTTTATGAATTGATATTTCTGTCTACTTGCAATTAATTGAAGTTACTTGATAGCTGTATCTAGACTTTACATTGTGTTTTGTTTAATCCACTGTACCAAACTAACTTGATGGTTCAAACATAGGGTTTTCATGTTTCCATGTTTGAAGAAGAGATGCTTGGTCTGTGGAAATCACCATCCCATTCTTTTATTTTTTTTTAGAATTTTTTCAAAATTTATGTGTATGAATATGTGTATGGATGTGTGTATGGGTGCTTTAACTGCATGTGAATGTATGTAACACATAGATACATTGACCACAGAGGCCAGTAGAGAGAGAGTCAAATCCTCTGGAACTGGAGTTCTAGGTGATTGTTAGTTGCCATGGGAGCGTAAGGAACAGAATCCGGATCCTCTGCAAGAGCAACAAGTGCTGTTAGCCACTGTGCAGCCTCTCCGGATCCACCAACCCAGTCTTACTGTAAGTATACAGGAGAGTTTTGTTTCTGTCAGTTCCAAAGGGAACTCCATTTCCCCAAATTCCAAAAGGCGGAAGGGACCAATGACTGTCCACGGTGCCTGTTAGCATGCTGGCCTCCACACTCTCTTGTATCACAAGGACCTGTGACACGTTTCCAAGTCTGTGCTGACATCCTGGCTCTGCTCATCTGCTCCTCTACTCTGAATTCCCAGAGCTCAAGGGCACCCCACTCTACACTCATTGTCCTGACACCCCACTATTTCAGCTGCGCTCACTGTTTGACTCCGGAGTTTTGCCTCCCTGTCTGTCTCCAGCAACCCCTGCTTTCCCATGCTCTCCTCCTCTCTCTCTCCTTGTTTGCCTCACTTCTCTCTCTCTCTCTCTCTCTCTCTCTCTCTCTCTCTCTCTCTCTCTCTCTCTCTGTGTGTGTGTGTGCGTGCGTGCACGCGCACCCCTGCTTTTCTCATGGCCAGGTCCAGTCTGCTGTCTGATGGCCATACATATTCATCTACTTCTTTCTCTCTTTGCTCTGGACTCTTCCAGATGCCTCTGGCTGCTCTTTGGCTCACATTTACAATAAAAAAAAAAACTTCTCCTTGACCATTCCATGGAGTGGTCATGTCATCAGTTTATACAGTTTCCAGCAATCCATTTGTGTGCACTTTCCTTGTATTATCTGGACCCTGTTCGTGCAGTGTCCCAGCTCTGTGACTGGGCGAGTATGGACATGCTGGGCATTCACAGACTGCTCTATCTCCTTCCTAAGCCAAGATATTTCAAAGCAAGTCTTTGCAAAGAGGAGTGGATGACTAGGATAGTTTATGCCAGGCAGTCACTTAATGTAAACTATTTTCCATCAGTTTGATGGGTTTTAAAACATTATCATGCTGTGGTGTGATAACCAAATGAACTCTAACCTCAGGGATGAATCGAGGCACCAGATGAGAAACCCAGATTTGCACAGTGTCCCAGCCCAGACTGGTGACAACCAATGCCGCCACACCCGGGTTGGCGACAACAGAAATCTTACAGCTTCATTGTGTGTGCCCGAAAGCCAGAGGCCTTGAAAGTCGGGTTCCATAGGTCTCCATGTTTTGCAGCACCTGGGAGTGCACTAGGAGCGGCCCTCCTGGTGCCCGAAGGCAGTTGGCTACAGGCGGCTGGCTCCCGGGGCTTGCCTGAAGGAAGATGTTGGAAGTGGATGCAAATGAGAGCCGCTCTCTCTGGAGCAGAAAGGAACCTTCAGGAACCAGTCAGGCAGAGCTGTTGTGAGGACAGCACTTAGCTGGTCGGTCGGACCAGCGTCGCTGTGCAGATTTCAGTCACTTCCTGGAAACACTGGTGTCTGTTCCCAACTGTGCACCACAACGGGAAGCAAACAAGACAACTGCAGGTACACCTGATGGTTTACAAGTGGTTTTCAGCTCTCCTTCTTAGGTTTGAATTCCCCAGGTAAAGGATCAGCTTGCTTAAGAGAGAGTCAACTGGTTGATACTTTTTCTTTTTTTTTTTTTCTTTTTTGTTTTTTGTTTTTCCGAGACAGGGTTTCTCTGTTTAGTTTTGGTGCCTGTCCTGGATCTCACTCTGTAGACCAGGCTAGCCTTGAACTCACAGAGATCCGCCTGGCTCTGCCTCCCAAGTGCTGCGGTTAAAGGCATGCGCCACTGCAGCCCAGCTGATACTTTTTAATTGAAGTTTAATTTTGGAGAAGAAGGCTCCTCTCTGTCTCTCCCTGTCTCTCTCTCCTCTCTCTGTCTCTCTGTCTCTCTGTCTCTCTGTCTCTCTGTCTCTCTGTCTCTCTGTCTCTCTCTCTCTCTCTCTCTCTCTCTCTGTGTGTGTGTGTGTGTGTGTCTATGTCTTAACAAATGCCCAATGTAGCATTCAGGAGACAGGAGGATTGATGTGATGTTGAAGCCATCTCAGGTTACATGGTGGGTTTGGGGCCACACAGCGAGACCCTGCCTTCAATGCAAGAATAAACAAACAAACAAACACAGAAGAGATATTATAGAGTATTTCCATGTCGTGCCCCCACTTTGTTAGTGACAACTCTTTCCAACCCCACCTCCACCACCACCAAGTGGTTATCAGTCTTTCTAGAACATCCCACATGTGGGATGGCACAGTGTATGTGGCTGAGCTCACTTAGCATGTGATCCACTTGCCGCTCTGCCCCCTCTCCGGTGTCGTTTCCTCCTTTTTATCTCTGAGCCACCCTCCTTTGTCCGACTGCCACAGCTTGTCCTGCCTTGCCCGTGCACTCGTCCGAAGACATCAGATGTTTCTAGTTTGGTGTGATAATGAACATTGCAGCTGTAAACATTTGAGTGCGGTTGTTTTGTGAGAACATAAATTTCCATTTCTCTTGGGTAAACACTATGAGGAAGCTGTCGTATCCTACGGTAAATGTATGTTTAATATTTGGGGGGGGGATGCAGCCTATTGTCCCATTGATGGACTAAGGATATATCACCTTCAGTGTAAATGCAAAGAACTCTTTCTCTGAGGGAGTTCCTCTTCACGGAAACAGCACTGAACCACCAGCTCAGAACGGAATGATTTATTGGGTCCAAACTCTGAATTTTTCAGAATAAGGAACCTGAGGCTCTGAGATTGGGACACAGAAGTACATGAACAAAACAACTGGTAAGGCTGGGGTGGGGGTGCTCCTCCAGCTCTACCACTCGGGGCTCCTCCCCCGCCGCTACATGTGGAGTCTCCTGTGAATTGGAGAGCTTGGAGGAAAATCTATTTAAGGAAAGTGTGCCCTATATTTTAAGGAATAAGTATGGTGTAGGAAGGGTAGTATCCAGATAAATTATTTACATTAATCAAATTCATTGAGAAATGACTCAATTCTCCATTTCCTTTGGCCCAATTACATATATATTGAGACTTCTGTAGCCTAGTCCATCACTCCTCCTAGGGAACAGCTACTGTATTAATATAATCATTATTATATTCCCCCCAATAAAATAAGAGGCACATGACTAGCCAAGTTCTCCGTATGAGACCCTACACTGAGTGGTCACATCTTTTGAATACATGTCCTTGACTTTGTTCTGGGTCTTGAACTTTGATTCAAGTTCCTCTCATTAAGCAAAGTCACACTTAGCACACAGAAATTCTCTAATATAGACCTGAGACTGAAATGTTCTTGAGGACAGCAAAATGATAAATTTGTAGTTCTAGGATGTATTCGGTGTTAATTTCACGGGTGGGGGGGTGTGGGGTGTGGGGTGCTGGGTGCACAACTGAAGATATTCACAAAATAAAAGTAAGATCTTCTGAAGTAATTTAAATCTTAATCCAATAATCCATTTCTGATTACCCACATTATGACAATTTATGGAGTGATCATTCCAACCACAGATATCCAAAGTTGTGGGGAGGGGGGGTGAAATTGCTTTAAAACTGGGTAAGAGCATCTCTCTAAGATGCTCAGGGACTCAGTATTTTTAAATAGTATTTAAAGCTGAACGTCTGGATGGGGTTCAGGTATTGTGAGTACTTTCTACACATTGTGCTATTTCTGTCTCCTGCCCTCCCAAAGTGTTTCAGAGTGCCTCTGGCCGGGTTTCTCCTTCCTAGACCTGCCCACCGGCTGCGTGGTTTTGTGGCGGTGCCGTGGCTGCCGTGGCCCTCTGCTCACTCGACGGTACAGAAGCCAAAAGCTATGGGTGTCTTCTCCGCTACCCGGAGCCACCCCTCACACCAGAATGAGGCCAGGCCTCCCCATCAACTCTTTCACCCTCACAGGCATTCCTGCTGCGGGCGGGCGGTCACTCTGTTGACCTGGGATGCTTTCCTGACATTCTGGAATACTCTATTCCCGCAGTCAGAAACCAAGGGCCGGAGTCCTTGCTTGCTCCCTGGTCCAGATGAGATAGGCTGAGCCCTCCACAAAAGCCTCCTGATGTCGCGAAGGATGAGAGAGAAGCAAGCTTGGCTTGGCGTGCAAGCTGAGGTGACTGACAACTGGTCCATTCCAGGCTTACTTCCTGAGACAACTGGGTAATTTTGTTTCAAGAGTCTTTGAAAAGGGTAAAAGAGCTTGCTCGGAGGTCATTCTGCTACCATGTCTCTCTTGAACTCAAATACCTATTTATTTGCCCTAGTTTGCATTTGTGGTTTATTAAACAAGACGTCCCGCCCACCTCCCTGTCCTCCATGGGTCCTGGGATCTCCCCACCCACAGAAACGCGAGCGAGGGCAGCTGCTTGAGCACTGTAGGCAGCAGCCAGCAGAGTGACGCCCTGTCCCTCAGGGGAGATCCTGTGGATGCAGTCAGGCAGTGCCCTTTCTCCTGACCTTTGCAGCCTCACGTTCTTCCCTGCAGGACTGGCATGCAGCGGAGATGAACAAGCGCCAGGCGCTCTGCCAGCAGATATCCCCCCGCTTCGTCACTGAAGGCTTTGGAAGTCGCTCGTGCACATGGCAGGCAACTTTGTCAGCTTTTGTTTGTTGTGCAGCCCACACCAGCTGGTGAGCTGCTACTGCCGCGCCTCCCCTCCCGTCCTTCTGGGCTCTGGAATCTCGGCTCGCTCACGTGTTGCCACAAACAAAACGCATCGCCCCCGAGGAGCGTCCTACCCCGTCTCAATGGTTCCTCTTTTTAGAGAGATCTTTGGGGGACAGTTGGAGGATATAGCTTGCCATGGTGTTTGGACACTGGGCCTGCACTCTTGAGGAGGGGACACTGGACCTAAAATACTCCAGGGTTGGGTAGCCCTAACTCATGTAGTGAGAGCCTTGTTTCTCCGCCCCCTCCCTGACTTTGGTATATATATTGGTTTTTTTTCCTGGTTTATAAACACATCCTGAACAGGAAGTCACAGTTAGCTTCTCTTAAATGTCACGCATGGTAACAGTGATGGACAGAACCCAGTGCTGGGAAAACAAGGACACTGTTCCTCCAGCCTCTAAGTTCAGTGTCCCATCACAAAGTCATATCTGGGAGCGGGTGAGACTCAGACTCCAAGGCACACACCAGTGCTCTTGGGACGATCTTGATTTCTACAACAATTCAGGGCACTGGCTCTCTTTGCAGTCACATGCCTGGGGCCGTGGTGTTGTAGAGGACCCCGGGGGCGTGGCTCAGAAAATACCATGGCTGCACCCATGTGTTCTTTGTGATTAGGCTAAGAAGGAGTGATTCCCAACTCTGGCAAACATAACATTCAGATACCCATTGGCTCACATCTGATAATTCAAGCTTGATCACAATGAGCTACTTCCAAAGCGAAATAATGGAGCGGAACTCTCAGCCGGGGAACCTTCCCCTCCATATGGTTCACAAGTTCCCTAGGATGTGTAATCCTACTGGGAGCGCCATCTGTGTAGACTCCGCTCAGGCTCCTTGATGTTCACTCTGTCTTAGACTGCATTTTCCAGCAAATATACTCAGACTGAAGGCCATGTGCCAGTCTACCTGTTCCCCCGCCACTAATTCTAGCAACGTGTGGCTTTGACCTTTGAAGGGCATCATTTCAGGGCAGATTCCTCAAAATGGCATATCCTCTGCCTTATCAAGGACCCACTGTGAGTTTCCTTTCTGCATCTGAGTAAGTTTTACGGATAATCAGACACACATTGATGGTAAGCTCACCTTATCTCCCCTGCTGGAGTGAAACCTTTGGAACTAAGGCAGATCTTCTCACTGTGGGCCGCTGGAGTGTCCGGTACTGGGGATCAGTTAAGATCTTCACCAGAAGCAAACAATGGGCCAACCAGAGGAAATTACAGAAATGGTATCCAGCACAGAGGAAAACTTTAGGAAGGTGGAAGAGGAATATTGAGGTGATTTTCCAAGTAACGTCCCCCAAACAGTCTGGCTGCTTGCATTGAAACCTAGGATTCGGCTCTAGTAGCGCCCGCGGCCATTGTGTGGCAGGGAGCAGCTGCCCTCTGCCTGGAGGGATTTGTGCACACAGCACCATCTCGCACCCCTCTCTTGTACTCTGTTAGCCCCTTGTTGGCTAGACAGTGTGATCTCCTGCGTTTAGACAAGTCGCATCCCTGAGCTCAGGTACAAGGGAGCCTGGCACTGTGAACATCTAGAAGCTTCTACTTCTAAAGAGGAGAACAAAATTTATGAAGTGAGATTTGGATGCCAGACTGACAACCTTTCCACCACACATGTTGTGTCTTATGTATTGCTGCTTACCTGCGTAAAATGATGAGGAATATTTGTTTGAGGGTGATTAGGATGTGCCTGTGTGGATGAAAGTAGGGCATGCTGTATATAGTTGTTACCCAGTGTTGCTACAAATAACGTCTCAGTGATATCAGAAGCAAAGTGGCAGCAATCTGACAAGGGACTCAAGCAAATGCCCTTGGAAAGGATCTGCAGATCTTAAGATACAAAAATAGTTCAACACACACATTGAAAGGAAGAAACAGACTGTCTGTAGCTTGTGACAGAATCACCAAGCAGCCTGACCATATCTGGTAGCAGGAGTGGAGGTAAGCCTTCACACGAGCAACATCCTGCACAGCTCTCGTTTCCCAGTCAAGGGTCCAGCAGATCTCATCTAATGTGAGATGCTCAGCCAGGTGGGACATCAACTTCAGTTGTCGCGGCATCTTCTCAGTTTGAAGCAATCCATGATCCCATCGGTCCATCATTCCATCGCTCTCACATGCTAAACAGAGTGCAACAATTCCTGTCCCTGCTTCCACCAAAGGTCTTGCCGCCCTGTGATCGGCCTTACACACAGGATCACGCGTGAGGAAGCCGTAGCAAGCCTAAAGCTGCTCATGCCTGCTCGCTTTCCATTCTGATGTTTTGGATACCTGCGCATGGCTTTATTTTTAAGAAGGGGTGGGGAGGGGACAGGAAGTAATGCTGCGAAGCGAAGGAGCAAACAAAAACCAGTGAAGCAGCAGGTTTGAGGGGAGAGTTCACAGAACAGAAGAAACCGTACAGATGTTACTGTCTGTGTCTGTCCATCTCCCTGTTCAGCAGGAGTCAGTTTCCTGCCTCTTCCCTCAATGCTCTTGGCTCTTCTGAGGAGGAGGAAAGAGAGGAGTCATGGCAGTCAGTGGGAGAAGTCACAAAGCCTAGGGGGGACTTGAGAAAGGTAAGAGTCACTGCTGCGAGCAGCTGTGGTGGACACCTGCCTGCCAATGAAAGAACTCCGTCCCACACCTCTGTTGGCAGTGTCATTGACGTCCCTTTCCTACCTTCTTGATGCCTGAGCATTCTTCAAAACCCGGATCAAGTAGACCTTTGCATAGAATCCTTCTAGACAGCGTGGCATAGGAATGCTGTCTCTGCCTAGGCACCTGCTCATGGTCCCTGGTATCCTGCAAAGATGACCGCAGGTGCCTCTTCTACTAGATGAGCAAACTAACGAGCAGTAACAGAGGTAGCAGAGCCAAAGTGCTGCCCTTCCGCCAGGAAAAGACACACAGAGCATCAGTATATAGATGATATAGGTACACATGTGAGTGATATACAGAGAGGTATTGTTATAGATGCAGATTATATATAGTACATTCATATATGTCACATGTGCATGCATAATACATACACATGTAGAGAGAGGACCTGGGCCTCTGTATCTTAATAGGGACTGCAGCATGATCTGGGGTCTAAGGTTGTCTCTCGTGGATAAGGGCAGACTGCCGTGTGTTTCTCATTTACCCCCATGCAATAGACACCCTGAGACATGGACGCAGGCAGCCCTTCCCAAAATGAGGAAACCAGGAAGCTCAAGGCTCACCAGGGGGCACAGTCCTGTGTTCCAGGGCAGCATCATTCATGCATGTGGCCCGCATGAATGAAAACTTTAAGAAGAGGTATTAGGTAAGTTTAAATGTGATCACTGCTTTTGTAAAGCACTCTGAGAGATTAGATTCTTGGCATGGTTAAATGAAGTCTGCTGTCATGCAGCTTGGGGGTTCAAAACAGACAGACAATGCAACCTCAGACTGCCCTTGGGACCATGGACCCAGAAGAGCTCTGAGTGTACCTGATGGTTGTGCCCCAGCATCAGAAAAGGGATAAGACAAATTACTCACAGTGTTGTTTCCTGTGTAAGCCTCAATTTAAAAACCTCCTTAGGTTTTTTCCCAGGTGTGATTTCTGCAACTGAATTGACAATAGAAAATATCAACATGCGATGTCCTGCTCTAGCAGGGAAATATTTCAAAAACAAAAACAAGCAAGCAAGCAAACAAACAAACAAAAATCACTTTTTCTCCTCACCTCCATCCTGAGCAATTATTGCCACTTTGTGACTTAGAACCATCTTGTCACCTCCATGTCAAACAGACAGGAAGCAGGACAGAAGTATGCTCCAGTTGCTGGCCACCCCTTTTTCATTTCGTGTTGAAGCAAAGAATTCTCCTTCACACCAGTTTGCTTGTCCTGCCCTTGATATTAAAATGGGGATGCAACACTTCTTTACTGTGTGCAGCAAGGCTTGAGTGAAATACTGAGCATAATTCTGTACCTATCCCAAGCCCCAGCACCTGAAGGTGCTCAGGGATAGGTAAGCATTAATTCTGTCTATTTCTGTTCAAATGCACTCTGTGCATAACTGCCATTTCATACTTCTTAATACGCAGAACATCATGCTATAGCTTCACTCGGAAACACTGTTAGTTTTTACCCTGAATGAGATTTGGAAGTCTCACCCTAGGGCTGGCAAGATGGCCTCTCAGGGAAAGGTTCCTGCTGCCAAGCCTGATGAACTGACTTCACTCCCCAGAACCCACAGGAAGGAGAGAACTAACTCTCGCAAGTTAAATTCTGACCTCCACACTTGGGCTATGGCATGTATCTTGGGTTATGGCATGTATCTGTGCGCATGCACACACACACACACACACACACACACACACACACACACACATACATACACACACACGAAGTAAAGTGGAATTAAAAGCTAAAATAAGTAAATAAAAATAAAATTTTCCATCTAAAACTTAGGACCTGGTTCCTCTGGCTTTCATACACCCCACAGTTCAGCTAAAATGAGCAGACTGTTCTCTTCTGAACCAGATTTAGCCCTCACCATTGACCCCTTTGATCTTACTTTCTTGGTACTCAGAATGTTCAGCTTTGGATTTTCCAAGCTCTAGTCTAAACACAATTCTGTATCATATTTATGTGAATACACACCTCTTTTCTCCACTTCTCAGGGAGAGAAGAGGCACCTGCTTAAGTGTCCGGTGACGGGTGAGGCTAATGAATGCTTGAAGCTCCATAGGGGATGACTTCTCCTTCCTAATATGATCAAAGAATATTGCACGCACATATGATCAACACTAAATGGACTCAATAGTGTGTGTGTATGTGTGTGTGTGTGTGTGTGTGTGTGTGTGTGTGTGTGTGTGTGAGAGAGAGAGAGAGAGAGAGAGAGAGAGAGAGAGAGAGAG